TTAACGCCTATTCTAAATATCTACAGGTCTGTCTATAGACAGAATAAGCTATATCTTCTGATGTATAAAAATTAATGTTTCTTTGTTCGTATTTTGTGCATTGTCATACCGATCATCAGATTGCGGGTAAACTTTGTCAACTTATTGCTTGCACTTGCACGAACGTTATAGGCATAGTACAAAAATATAATAAAAAAAAAGCTAAAAACTTAAATTACCATACAGCCCTCCTCCCCGCGGTTTAGTGCCAAGAACGCTGGCTGCATTTCCTTATATTCTGCTATATTTGCTATATTATTGTTGCATTATATTGTTGCTATATATTGTTAAATTATTCTCGCTCAATGGCTAAGTATATCCTTTGAGCGAGAATATAACCAGCCCTGTTATCACCAGCAGCGACGATCAGTAGCGGATAGTTTTATTAGGAACTTCAGCGCACATGAACCCCACTGACAGATAGTCGTCTCTACAGCAAATGGCACAAATATGTACTCATCTCTCAGAGACTCATATTTGAGCTACTTATTTAGTTAATTTGCCTCTGATGCGACCCCTGTTTTAAACGAAGTAATCCTGTGATGAGAGCGTACCAAAGTGTCTTCGCAAGTAGTATCCCACACTAAAGCTTTATCTCTCTCCCAAGCAACCAAAGTCATACTGTCGTATCTCCTGCCATCGTCTCTAAATATTTTACAAAGCTCTATTACCAAGAGAATATTTATAGAGACATGAGCTCTTCAGATGACATCGTTCAAAGAACTGTGACGGGACAACGGTTATTTAGCCGTGTTATAAAAATATGGTATTAAAGGTGGATTCGACCAAATACCATGTTACACCAGAGTAACTAACCCTTGAATAATTTTACTCTTCGGTTTTACTCTCAGATAACTTGTTTGCATTTTTTCAACACAAACGTATAGTATTGTTACTCTAGAGTTTGTAAATCAATAACAACAGTAACATTTGATAATTATCTGTCGTCGGCGACTTTGGATTTTAACAGATGTGGGTAGAAAAAAACATCGATAAGTATTATAGACAAGGACCTCGACAACCCTATTGATTTTTATTGTTTATCAAAACTCAGTAATAAAAGCCAAACATGTTGTTAATTACGATTTTAAGAATAATTATTTTTTAAGTACCTAGGGATATTATCAAGTAATTTTTCTTTTTTAATATTAGCTGTAAATTCACTTACTTGTGGAATGGTACCCCATTTTCCTTTTGGTAATGAGTTTTACAAATAATTCTTATTATATAACTAACATCAAACATAATCAAAATACTTCCATTTTTTCGTTTAAAAATTTAAAATACAGAGATACAATTTAAACAATACAACAGACTTTGGCATATTATATGTCAATTTTAGCTTCAAATCGAAACAAACATTTTGTAGGGTATAACCAGTCCAGTGTACACGTACGCTTTACTCGCGTCGTTGTTTCATTAGAATTCCGTAACGTTAATTTCATATACTTAATTATCAAGACCATTAAAGACTCATCCAAAAATTATTAGACAAAAATCAAAACGAAGAGCAATTTTCGGATTTGACTGAGAATTTACTAGTCGAAGCTGAGAAGAAAGGAATATTCTGACTACGAGCTTTAGCTTTAACATACATCATATAAATGTTATTAAATAATATACTGGTAGCAACTGGTGGAAATAGCGGCCAGAGTAATAGAATCCAGAACAAGTGGTAAAATAAAAAAAATTTTGTACAACCGACTTCCTTCGATAACCAGAAAACTATGGTCAAATCTTGATCAAATTTATATGGGACTACATGAGAAGCACCACCTTTCGAATAATAATCATCAAATAAAGTTCTGAGAAAAATTTCTGTATTTTTTTATGTGTAACACAGGAATTGAGAACCTCCCCCTTTTTTGAAGTCGGTTGAAAATAGAAGATGTTTACCAATGCAAAAGGAATTAAGTACATAAAAAGATTTACGGGGGCGGAATTGTAAGGGAAAATTATATTCGATGTTGGTGAATATTTCAACGGTGACATGTTTACGTGACATAATTCGGACCGCTTTCCATCGCGTTGGCATGTCCAGACTGCTCCTGAGGTGTTGTGGTATTTATTAGGAAGGATTTATTTATATATATGAGATTTAGTTACAAGAAGAAAAAAGTATTTATAAACGTTTTAATAATTATTATTTTTATCACACTAGGATTTTCTCCTGTATCGTGGAGGCAGCTTACAAACACAAATTGCACAAAGACAAACATCCAGACCCGGAGCAATTATTTGCAGGCCATACAAATACTTGTTCCGTGCGGGATCCGAACCCGTGGCCCTCAGCGCAGCTAAGCCACTGCGCCACGGAATTGCTGTTGCGTTGCGTAGTTGTCAGAAACCTGGATGCTTGGTCAAAGGCAATTTGCAATTGTAAAAGTTATATTTAAATTAAGTGTATTAGGGTTCTTTTGTAATGTGATTGCCGCCATATATTTGACATTGCATCTAACTTTACTATGCAAGCGTATTTTTACGGCTACGTGGTGCAGTGGTTAGTGAGGTGCGGCGCTGAGGGGCGCAGCTTCAAATCCCACACGGAGCAAGTATTTGTATGGCCTACAAATAATTGTTTTGTTATGGATGTTAGTGCATGTGCAATTTATGTGTGTAACTTGCCTCTGCGATAAAAGAGAAAGAGTTAGTGTGGGGATAACATTTATTTTACAAAATATTATAAGAAAAAAGGAGTTATGTTAGAGCAGCCACGGGTAAGTTACGCGTAATGCAAGTGAGTGATTAGGTATGTATTTACGTGTACACTTGTGACACTCTTCGTATGTACAATTTCTTATATATATATATATATATATATATATATATATATATATATATATATATATATATATATATATATATATATATACATATTATATCGCACATAATATGTACTATTTCATATTAAAATTTTACATGACAGGAATTGTAACATATCAATCAGGCACATAGTTACTTTATCCTAGGAGTTACAGCACAAAGTTTTATTTTTTATTTTATAAAATATTAGATGAAAGAAAAGTCCGATTTAAAAATTATCTTAAAATTACTCCTTCTGGATTCAAGACGCTAATTAACCTTTTAATCCCCTATTAGCTTTCCTATTAGCAGCAGCAGTGGCAAATCTGGATTTAAAAAAGCCATTTAAGCACGTCTTAGCCTGCAGAAATTGTCGGTGCCTCCAAGGTGTAGGTTCATCTTAGTATAAGAGCCGGGGAGAGGCGGGCGGCTAGCATCTGGCCTGGTAATTAAGAGCATCTGCCTACGTTCAATTTTGAAACGCGGTAGATGAGAGTTGCCCCGCACGCCGTCGGGTCCATTTGGGAGGGTAGAGCAAATTGCTAAACTTTCAATTAAAGAGTTGTTATTCAAACCGCTCCCGGTTTTCTCAGTGGAATTATGTTTTATTTCGCAACGAGCTCTGATAGATCCCTGTTTCGCATTTTACTTGGATACCGCTTCACAATATACTTTAAGAAGTGTATTGTGAGTTGCAAACTTAGGATAGCTGTCTGATATCTTTATCGTATACCTTCATTGAGTTTTAATTATGAAAGGCTATTGTTATACTATGAAATTACTAAAGTATTAAAACAGAACAACACATTTAAGTAATAGCCTATTGTTCCAATATAATAACTTTAGTAAATTAATATACCAAAAAAGCAGCACAAACTGAAATAAGATCAACCAATAATATCTTATCAAATATCAATATGTAATTACATGTCTGCGGTTTCTTTAGTCATATTGATGCTTATTCTGGTCACTCTTATGATTTCTAAAATCTATTTCCAATCTAGAAGTGATAAGAAAATTGAGAAAGATATTTTACACAGGTTTAAATGACAAACTAATGAATATTGTCATTTTGAAAGTTCTAAAACAATTCGTGGAGCTTTTACGTCTTTCGCTTTATTATTTCTGACGTGTTTCATAGTCAACTCTTCCGACACTAGTAAAGCGATGCTTACCGTCGCCACTACATGGCGTTTCAGACTAAAGTTATAGTTGCATAAAGTTGTATAAATTTACTTAGTCAAAGATTGGAGTCGGTAATATTAAGTTATAATTTTTATTATTATTGTAAGCGTATTTATATCCTTGGTACTACATTTGAACTTTTCTTCAGTCATATCATCGATTCCTTTGTAAAACTTACATTCACATATACAGGTTGGTCCAAATAGTGACATCCAAAAGAAAAATTTAAATTCCCCACACGTAGGGGTATCCGAAAATGCCCCATGTATATTATCCGATTTTTGTAGTTTCGAGTTATAATCTGTTTTGTATTTTTTTTTATGTTTTTTGCCGGTGGGGCTTCAAAAATTCATATTTTTTTTGTAGTAGTTATTTTTCAGATTTTTTTTCCTTTGACATGATTGTTTTAAATTATAATTTCACACATAAAATAATAAATTTGCTATGATTCCTGCAAGTTACTCAAAAAAGCATCGAAAGTAAGACTTTTAGTTTTTAGTGGGGTAGACTCAAACATTCATCCTTAATTTAAAAATACAAAAAGGAGTTTCCATAGGTTCTGACTTTAAAAACTTTGCAAGTACCTAAGCTATTTAAATCGTTAAAAAAATTGTTGTAATCGGTCTTTGAAGGTGGATAGGCTAAAATCCACAAAAAAATTTAGATTTAAAAATATTTTGTTGCTTATTTTTGTCATACTTATGTAAATTTAAGTAATAAAATGTAAAAATAAAGGATTGAAAACCCGTTTAACAATCCTCAAATTATGAATTATTGTGCTGTACGTGTCTTGCTCGTGTTATTTTACTCACGTAAAATAAGAGCATGATGGCTACTGTATATTATAAAGGAACATATACATATATATTTTAAAAGAACCTGTTCCTTTATAAACCTAACTGTCATAATTATTCCAACATGAACGGAAACCAGTATTATATTTTTTTATTAACACTGTTTCAGAGGTGGCAGACTTGGTGATTACGGCTCGATGTGCGGCCGAAGACGGCGCCGCACGAGGGAGCATGCTGGTGCACCTCTTGGTTTTTTGCACCGCCCTCGTGGCTGTCAATAGTGGCAAACACGGTAAGAATGTTGCGTTTTTTATTCCTACTGCAATTGTCTACAAGTTGACTTACACCAGGAATTCTTTAATTAATTTTAAAGCACTGGCTACTACTATTACAATAATTGTTTATCGAAATTTTACCTGATAATAGCTGTATGTATAAAATATTAAAAAAAACACATACCCTAATTTAAAAAATACCTTCTTCACAAAGCTCGGTGTTAGGTACTAACAATATTACAGACTCGGTAAGTTAAAAAATTCTCGTAAAATTTACATAAACCTCGCCCACGCCACGCTACCTTTTGCTTGTTTTTCTTCTTTCTTGAGAACATCTCTTAACGCTCATTCATTTTGTTTACCATTAAAAATGTGATATTATTCGTTTAACTAATGCAAGATTGTGATTCGTTTTCTAATACAATATTTTTAAATTTTTTAAATTTTTTTAATTACAATTTTTTCAATCAAAAAATCACTTTGCCTACTTGAAAGAGCGCGTAATGTTAATAATCACTGTTCCCCCAACAACCTTATAAAAAAGTATCGTATGAAGAACATGTGTTGCGGGTCTGCCAGATCAAATATTACTGTGATCCATACATCCGCAAGGGGTGAACAATGAACAATTTTATGGTACATTTCACTTACTTCTTTTATAAAGATTTTATGTTTTATTTCGCTCTGATATCTATACTTAAAATAGGAATATTGAAAATTTGCAAATAATAAAATATGTTTACCTTATGGGTGAATTAAAATATAACAAGGTGTGGGAGAAAAGACACAAAATTTAGTTATTTGGCAGAAAAATGTAACGAATGTTACCTTTGTGAACTGGATCCCTAGAGGTTTATGTCTTTTCGGATCAGGCGGCTTACCGGAGGATGCGCGGGAAAAAACTCCTTTCCCTCATAAATATTTACTTTATGAAATAACGCGCCCCAAGCTCAGCTTAGTCTTACATACCGAGTGGCAGCAGGTGATAACTGCCAAGTGACAAAAACAGTTATTTACTCTTATATTTCTATTATGGGAAAAATCTGCTTTGTTACATCATTCCTTTTCAGACATTTATTTTAAAATTATTAAAAGTAATGTAGAAAATATTAAAAAAACATATTAAACATAAATGTATTTCTCATAACTAAATTTCAATGAAAATTAATATTTTCTCTTACCCTCTTGATAGTAAGCCAAGACAATTTTCAGTATATTTTTTATGAAAAAAGGTAGACAATCGATTAATCAATTTTACGTGGTAGAGCCATGCTGCAGCTATATTAGTAGTATAGTTGTAGCACCAATGGGTCGGCTCGACCGGGGAAGGACCACGCTCTCACAGAGAACCAGCGTAAAATAGCAGCTTAACGCTGCTGTGTTTCGTATGGTGAGTGTAGAGAACCGGAGATCCTTTTTACTGGTAAAGAGGCATTCCATCTTAGTCCTCACGGGCGACAACGCATCTGCATCTTGAGTCTTTATTGAGGATAGATGTAGATGTCTATGGGTCACAGTAACCATTTACCATCAGGTGGACTGTGTGCTCGTTTGTCACCTTGTCACCCTATCCTCTAAAAAAAAGAGGCTATATAACAATCAACTTGAAGGTATTAATAGTGTCTATATTTGTGTGACATCTGCAAATAACTTTAATACTCACTCTATATAGAGGAATATACACCTAGACTCCTTTTCCCGGTACGAAGGTGCTAATAAAGAAACTTTCTTCCGCATCGGTTATTAGTTCTTCAATATATAACGCGTATCTGCTTCATCTTACGATATTTACCTATATATTATAACAATACTATATAGGTTACTCCGGATTTACTGCGGTAATAATTGTTACGGATTCTATCACGCAGAAAAACTTTGAGTATAGCTCTCTTCATAGCTCGCTGAGCAACATTTAGCATGCTCGCATACGGCCAGTGGTAAAGGATTACGTCTCAGTTCCATATGTGTTGTCCTCAGTTTGTATACTTTTTTAACGTTTTGAAGAATACGCGACGAGAGATTATGTCCTAATTAATACTAAGCTGTATTAGATCCGTCAATAACCCTTAACCGAAGTTGAACTTACCTAGTGCTATTTTGAAATACTCGTCAACGACTTGATACGTAATCTTCCCATCATCTACCAGCATAAGTGTGATATGGACGGAGAGCCTATTTACTGGAAGCAAGGCATTCCATCTTAGTTCTCAGGAGAGAAAACGCATCTGCAGTTTAATTCTTAATCGAGAATAGCACACTACAGCATCCACTTACCATCAAGTGGACTGTTGTGTGCTCGTTTGTTACCCTTATTCTATAAAAGAGAAAAAAATATGTACTTACACATAATTTTAGTCTTGTCCATGCTCATCTTGACATCTATTGCTTTGTTTATTTTAAATAATTATTTTTCAATACAATCAAATGATAGTTTTACAAACAGATCCGTTTAACTCAAACCCAATTTGGCTTATCTACAGTCTTTGAAATCTTAGATTAGACATAGTAAGACTCTTCTAAAAACAGGTAACCCTATTTACTGGCAACGAGGCATTTGATATTATTTCTAAGGGGTGACAATGCAATGGCATTTCAATTCTAAATCGAAAATTGATATAACTATCGACGTGCCATACATAGCATGACTATTCGATTGACTGTGTGTTCCTTTCTCACCCTTGTTTCTATAAAATAATGGCTTTTTCACATCGGCTAAAATAAATGCGTACCAGATTGTTCTACGTAATTTAATATCTGAAACTATTGTTTTCACCATAAGTTTTTATTTTAATTCAAGTCAATCAATCATCGATAATCGAAATAGTCAATAAAACTTATATGTTAGCTCCGGTACCAACTAAAAATCGCAAAACAGTTATAACATCAGTGATTAACAGGTGGTATAATAATAATAGGATATAGGGGGTTCTCACGGATTCCTCGAACCGTCTTGTCAATGTTAACGTTTTATATCTTAACCGCAAGTGTTCAGGTACGGTATGCCGCTGCAGTCCCGGACTACTCCTTGACGATGACCTTTCTTTCGACCGCGACCGATCAATTAGGTATTATTAGGGATAATTAGGTAGTAGAAACTATCAATAATAAATAAATTGCATAATTAGGACTTGCTACATGCCACTCAAAGTAGATGTTTGGTGAAACTTTGTGATTTTTATTTTAAATTGAATTGGATTTTATATATTTCAAAATACACAAATAGGACAATTAATTGACTGTAAAAACTATGACGTAATCATGATATAAAAGTATTTAATTTACCTGTGTCAAATAACCAAGTGTGCTTAGCAACCAGCAATGTTGAAGTTTCGCTATTTCTGCAGTTAACTTAGCTAGTTTACCAAGTTAAATCTTGCTAGCTTGATAGGTTGGGTTGTTGTCATTATTTAAGCAACAACCGCTCCAAGTTTCCCAGGTTTGGTGTCATAGGTGTAAATGTGCTGTCCATATTAAACGCAGAATTTTCTGAGATATTTAACCGCCTGCGAGATCGAGTTCGGGAAGAGGTTTGCCCAGTTCTGTTTCACTTATGATTTTTTAAAACTGTCGCTTTTTTTACTCCTTATCAGTCCTAACAGTCTCTGTTTTAAGGCTTCGAATTTTCCTATTCGAGGTTTTTTCATTTCTTGCTGTATTGTTGTATATTTTCTTACCCTACTTTGCAACGACATAGTGGAATCGGGGGTCATGGACTATTCTTCTGAGACGCTGTATTATCGATTATTAGGCGCGGCTGATCGCACCAGAATTTCGCATGACGCGCTGTTGGGAATACTTTTTTATTGAATACAGTGACAAACGAGCGCACAGTCCAACTGATGGTAAGTGGATACTTTGGCCCACAGACATTTACATCAATCCCTCCTGAGGACTAAGATAGAATCCTCCTATCCAGAAAATAGGGTCTCCAGTACTCTACACTTACCATACGAAACACAGCAGCATTAAATTACTACTTACTGCAGAAAACTCCGCCGCAATGTTCTCTGGCGTGGCATTTTGCAGATTACATTCGAAGATTTACAATTATTTTAAAAATTATGCTATATTATTTTATTAAGTTTCTATTCGGATCAACAAATGTTAAGCTATAGCTGTACTGTGCAGGTTGAGTAGCCAAATGGTGCAACGTAACTTTATAACTGTTTACTCATTAACTGTTATATTGGATTGCTTTAAGTTATGGGTGCTTACAAACTACTGAAAATTAATCCGATGGACATATGTAGCCAATAAAAGCGTCGCTTCAATTTCTTCATCGCTAATAATGCATATTGTAATAAAACTATTTTTTTTCTTCAAAATACTAGTAATGCTATTAATTATTACTAATATGCCCTTTAACCATTTCTGGTAATCTTAAAATGATTGTGTGAATGAAGTAGCTCCCGACAGTAGTCGAATGGCGGATTCGAACCCACGACCTTTCGAGTTCACGGTCCGGACCCTGCCATTAGGCTACTGACGCTTTAATTCACTAATTATTTTAATTAAACCCGATTAAATCTGCAAAAGCGAGTTTCATTCAACAATTAAATGATATGTGAAAAAGCTTTTTAACCTTGTGAACGAATTCTTACATATTACCTTACCAGGACGTCACTGAATCTAGTGGGAGACCGCTTTAAATTTACGCTTACCGGTACGAGGCTGCCACTCGAGAATCTTTCTTTCCCAATGCAATAAAACTTACTGATCCATTGCACTATGTCATTTGCTCTAGTTTTACTGCGGATATCTTCATTAAGAAATCTATCACATAGAAAAATACCAAGCATGGCCCTCTCCATTTAAGACTCTCAAATAAGTAAATTGCAAAACGCGTAAAATTTTAACAAATTAATTGAAATGGAAAGCTTCTGTTCAATAAATTATGATTTTGTCTGAATAGCGAGATAGTACTTAGTGTGAAGCGAATGAATTTAATATAACAAAGTTTTAACAAGATTAGATATTGTTATGACTCTTTTAGTTAGTCAAATCCAATGAATGAATC